ACAAAGTGAGACATATGTAGTTGTGATTTCAACGATGTAAAACAACGTTCTAGAAGGAAACATGTTGTTAAAAGAGGTTATTTCTACAACCTGAAGTTGTAGATATGTAGTGTTTCCTCCATACTTTCACACTTCTAGTTATCTACCATCAACTTGTTTCTTGTTGTTGTTGTTGTTGAAAGTATTACAGATGTCCCCCTTTCTCCCCCGTTGACCCCCTCCATCCTGTTCCCACCCCCTCCTGTTTTCCCCAGCCTAATGTCCATGTCCGTTGGTTGTGGATATATTCATGTAAGTTCTTTGGTTTATCTCTTCCCACCCCTGCCACCCCCCATCCCTCTGAGGTTTGTCAGTCTGTTCCCTACTTCCAAGATTCTGGATCTCTTTTGTTCAACAGCTTATTTTGTTCATTATGGTCCATGAATAAGTGAGAGCATGTATTTCTTAAAAACAGAAAAAAAGTTCACCTACAAATGGCAACGATGACGCGGTCTCCCCTTTGCCCTCTGAAAGAAGCACAGGCTTATCATTAAAGGGATCAAAAGGCTCACTATGGAGAGAGAGTGATTAACAGTTGTTAAAAGCCAAAACAAAAAACCAAAAACCAGGGCAGGTTCTGAGGACACTGTAGGACAGCAGAGTGCCATGGGGTCTTCCAGGCAAATGTCCCTCAACTGTCACAGCAAAAGGTTTAGAAAAAGCAGCTAGAAAAAATAAAAAGAAGCCGTGACGAGCCTCCCACCTCTGTCAGCGAGCGCCCAAGTCTGCCCGCGTTTCCAGGAGGACGCGTGCAGGAGCCATCCCAGCGCTGTTGAGTACGAGTGGGATGTAAAACAGGGTCCCTCCCCTCAAGGTGTCTTAAGATACGTACTTACTGAAGCCAGACAACATGGGTCCAGGCCACCTGTCACTGCTCGAGCCAATCAGGCAGAGACAAGGTTGAATGGAGTGAGCCTTCATTCCGATATTGCGGGCAGTGTGGGAGCGCAGCGGGTCACCCCATAAAATCTGCTCTGCCCTCCCTCACTTGCCGGCTGCTTTTCAAGGATAGAGGAACAATGACTATGTGAAAAAAGGCAGTTAGGCCAAAAAAAAAAAAAAAAAAGGTAAAATGGTTACAAGCCAGGCGGAGGAAGGTGGGCCGGGGGCTGCAGGGGCTGGTGGCCAGTGAGTTGCTGTCATGGGTCCAGTGTTCGGATAATCAGGTTGTTAATGTTTCCGTGAGGTCACGTAGCCCCTTGTCCTCAGATTAGGAGAACAGACAGCGTTGTGAGGAGACGCCCAAGGCACACACCTCCCAGCGGGTCAGAGCAACTTTTCTTTCATCAGAACAAAGCAACCACGATTAACACGGTCAAGGGTGGTTAATATTTCCTATAACTCTGGCTAGTACCCCGCTATGATTAGGATAGTACATGGCATCTTTAGTCATTCTAAAAACAAAACAAAAAATTGAGTTCCTGCTGTGTATCAGGCACCATTCTGGGAGAAAATGGAAAGCAACAGATGAAAATTGTTCCTCAGGGAAATCACAGCTAGTGGGAACATACATTCTAGCTTCCAGATGGTTCCGAGTACGGGCCGAGGCAGCCCAGGGACGCCGGGGGAAATCAGTAGGGTTTAGAGGGGCCAAAAACAGGGCCGAGCTTGTGGAGTTGGCCAGACAGCAGAGAGGACAGCTCGAGCATATGCCGGACTAAGCACAGCAAGAATGGGAGACCAAAGGGACCAGGGCCTCATTAATTCCAAGTTCAAGTTGTAAGTCACACCAGATGGTGCAGCGCCCTAGGCACCAGGCATCGGAGTTGGGACTCAACTCTTTTCACACATAGAGAGGCGAGAAGAATAAAGGAAACCAGGGACTCGGTTGTGTCTGATCAGGGGCTTTTTAGCTTTGCTTTTACTTTGTTTCATTTTATTAAAAACCTCCCAAAGGTCAGTTGAGAGAAAAACAGGAAGTCGAAAACAAAGGCCTGCAGGAGCTGCGGTGCAGGGTGGGAATGCAGTCTCCTAGTCAGAAGGCCCTGAACCTTTTCAACGGAGCCCTGTTTTGAAGTCAAACAGTTTAACAGTGATTTTTTTGAACCCAAATATGACAGGCTCGATGGAGGAGAAATAAGGAGGAGCATTTATACAGAGGCAACTCCCAATCTGTTGGTTTCTGGACAAAGGGGGCAAGTCAAACCTTATTGCCTACAGCACAATGCTATAAATCGGGGTTCCAGTCCTAGAAATCATTTTTCACCCTGAAATACCTAAGTCCGTTAAAATTGCAGATAGAGGCTTATACAAACATTTGTGAAATATGCAAAATATGTCCCTGCTAGGAATTTTCCCCTACTTTTTACAACTTCTCATTATGCCAGTCTAATAAAGTAGGGACTAAAGATACCATTTTCATTCCTAATGAATCTTTCTGTAGCAAGCATCAAAGCTCCAGGAATCCCCCAACCATCTTCCTACAGGGCCCTCAGCCTCTTGTTTTCACTAAATCAGGCCTCCAAAGATTGAGGATAAGGGGCTGCAGGGGCAGCTCCCCGGGTCCTCCCCTGAGCCCGCCCCTCACTCTCCGACTCAGAGCTCCCCTGCAGAGCTCCCCGTGGCCAGGTGGTGGCAGCATGGAGTCGAGCCCTCACTGTGCGCATAGGGGTAGGTTTCAGTCCTGACCAGCACCTGCCTCACCCACAAGCAACATCCCTGGGTCTCTGCTAAAGGTGTCACTGATAAATCTTTCTTCTCATTATTCACATTCATGGGGGTCTTTTGAATGGAGTCACCTGCCAGAGACCGAATCCCCCTTCAAATTCATAGGTTGAAACCTGGTCCCTAATGGGATGACAATTAGAGGAGGGGCCTTTGGGAGATGATTAGGTCATGAGGGTGGAGCCCTCAAGAAAGGCATTACCTTATAAAAAGGCTTCAGAGAGCACCCCTGCCCCTTTCCCCATGTGAGGACACAGCGAGGTGTCGTCTCTGAGCCAGGAAGCGGGCCGCACCAGACACCGAATCTGCTGGCAACTTGACCTTGGACGTCCAGCCTCCAGACTGTGAGAAATAAACTTCTGTTCTTTTTTTTATTATTATTATTATTTGTTTTTCTTTATTGATTTTAGAGAGAGAGGAAGGGAGAGAAAGAAACATTGATAAGAGAGAACATCGACTGGCTGCCTCCTGCATGCCCCCCACTGGGGATCGGGCCCACAACCTGGGCATGTGCCCCGACCAGGAATTGATCCGGTGACCTCTTGGTGCACGGGTTGATGCTCAACCACTGAGCCACACCAGCCGGACTAAACTGTTCTTTATCAGCTGCCCAGGCTATGGTATGCTGCTGTAGCAGCCCGTGGGGACTAAGACACCGCCCTCTCTCTCTGCCTGTCCACATCCTGTTCCCTTATACTGTTTTGTTCCCATTGGATCCCTTCCTGTTCTTGCAGAACAGATTGAGGTGTGGTCAGATGGGCCTTCCATCCACTCTAGGAAAGAGGACATCGTTCCTCCTAAGGGGTCCACCCAGACGTTGGTCTCCAGGACTGTGTCTTGAGCCCCTCCCCAGAGCCATCCATGGCCACTGCTCACTTCACTGCTGGACACCACCTGGCACTCCGGGCTGGGTGACTGCCAGGACTCCCCCTCTGCATTTTGGCCCCAGCACTGAGCGTCTTGTCTGGCTTCCAGCCCTGGGTTCCCAGGGCTTCAGCACGTAGACGGCGGTTTAGTTCCGTGTTGGAAAATTTATAAAGTGTGCAGACTGTTTTAGATGCCAATTGGGAGAAGTCCTTCTGATGAAAAGTGAAATGAAAATTTTTTCAAAGTGGTGAGGAAGGTACATACTGTATACTTCAGTGAGTGAGTTTTCCGAACAATTTAACACTATGCAATAAGATCGCTAAAGAGGGTTTCTCCCCTCGACCCAACAACCGCGGTGTTCGTGGGTAGCACTCTCCTTGACCACCACTTACAATGGTGGAAGGTAGGGACGATCTGTCCAATAGTGTGACGGGTAAATCTATGACGTAAACTGTTATGCAGACACTGACCATGTTTTTGAAGAATACTTAACAGCTTTGAAAAATGTTCATAATATTCAGTGAGAAAAGCATTGTGTTTAATGGTATGATTATCCAAGGGCATGTACCTCGGTTGCAGTTCGGTCCCTGGCCCTGGTTGGGGTTGGGTGGGAGGCAGCCAGTCGCTGCTTCTCTCTCTCCCTCCCTCCCTCCCTCTCACTCTATCTGAAGATAAATGGAAAAATATCCTTGGGTGAGGATTAAAAAAAATAAGTAAATAAATAAAAATACATCAGCATGAACACTGGTAAGATTATCAGTGGTTCTACAGATGTGGTGGGAAAAGGTGGTTTTTATATCTTTTTTCTTTTAACAAATATTTTCCAAGATTTTTTAAATAGTGAACATATATTACTGTTGTCAGGGAACATACGATAGTCGTTTTAAAAGTAAGGATGTGATTCCGTGCCAGGCGGCACTGCGCCTCAGCCCAGCACCCTCCCCAGAGCAGGCAGGTAAACTCGGGGTCTGGCCGTGGTCCTCACCCTGCTCACCTTAGAATGAGCTGCAGAGCTTCTAGAACACACCAGTGCCTGGCCGCAACCCCAAAGAACTGATTTGACTGGTCTGTGGCCCAGCAATGGTAATCCTTACAGCTCCCAGGGGGTCCCATGGGTCCCCAGGACCCTCAGCATCTGCCCCTTCCTTCAGGTCCCCAATAACAGCCTTGGCCCTCACCCTAGGCAAAGCCACCCTCACTAGGGTGAGGAGCCCCCTCACGAGGGTGCTGTTTACGCTGCATGGCGGAGGCTGCCTGGGAGAGCCGGTCCTCCTGCCGGGGCCTGGCGATAGGTTACCTGGGATGTCAGGGCCGAAGGGGGGGGGGATTCGCCATCGGTTGTTAGGAATTCAGGAGGGAGGGCAGGAGCTTGTGAAGACTCTGGGAGGGAGACAGGGAGAGCTGGCCTCACTGGTGTGACTTCCCCCCAGGTCCCCGGGAGGGCTGCCCCGCCCAGAGCGAGCGAAGATGACCACGCGGCCCAGGTGGGGCGAGCAGCTGACGTTCCTCGGCATCATGACCCTCACGGTGGCGGCCGTCTCCCTGCTGTTCTACGCGCTCCTCTGGAAGGCCGGCAACCTCACGGACCTGCCCACCCTGAGGATCGGCTTCTACAACTTCTGCCTGTTGAACGAGAGCATGGGCTCCCTGCAGTGCTACCAGCTCTCCGAGCTGGAGCCCCTGGGGCTGCCCCGGGGCGGCCTGGCCCTGGCCAGGCTGGGCGTGTACGGGGCGCTGGTCCTCACCTTCTTCGTGCCCCTGCCCCTCCTCCTGGCCCACTGCAAGAGGAACGAGGGAGAGTGGCACCTGGCGGTGGGCTTCCTGGCGGCGGCCTCCACGCTGCTGGCCGGCGGCCTGGGCCTCTTCCTCGCCTACACCTGGAAGTGGATCGCACTCTCGCTGCTGGGGCCGGGGTTTTTAGCCCTGTGCGCCGCCCAGGTCTTGCTCCTCCTCTTGCTTATGGCCACGGTTGTGTTCCCTCAAAGGGCAGAGGACACCAGCAAGCTTGAGAGCTGCTAGCCCTGTCCCAAGGCGCACGACTGCGGGGCTGTTTGAGCGATGCTCATGCTCAGAGGTGCCAGAGGACTCGTGGCTGGTGCTTCCTCAGCCCCATGTTTCATAGCCAAGCCGACCCCAAGCTCTAGCCGGCCCCAGCCGAGGGAGGCCCGCGGGCGGGCGAGGAGGCTGGGCAGCAGGGCGGCAGGCGCACCTGCAGCTTCTTAGCGTAGGGTAGTCTGTCCTTTGGGACTGCTAACACCACGTAGCTCACTGTCACGGAAATTCCTGCTTTAATGAGCTGATCCGAGAAAGCCATTCTTACTCTGCTCTCAGGACGGTGGAGAGAGAAGAGTTCCTGTCACAGGGCCAGGTTTCCAGGATGACCTGCCAAAGGCCAAGCTGAGACCCGGGGAAGGTTTATGACAAATGGGGGATGTGGAGAGACAGCACCTGTGTCCGAGGCGCCCTGAATAGCAAGCTGGCCCCTCCCTTCCCCCACGACACCACCTCCCCCCCCAAAGGCACAGGAGAGATCCCAAAGGGAGTCACTGAGGACAGTTTCCCTGAATAAGGCTGCGAGACCTGAAGCCAGACAGGGGAGTGAGCTGGCTACTCATCCCGAAGGGGGGCCCAGGAGTCGGAGCATAAATGCCGGATCCTGGGCAGGGGGGAGGGTGAGCAGGACTGAATGGTTCCATACATGCCGCGTCCCTCCACTGCTCACCCTGGGCGTAGAAAGGACACAAGCACAACTCGTGCACGGGGAATTTTGTGTATTTTTCAGCATTCGTATATTGCAAAACCTGTACAGCACATGGCTACATTCTTCTATGCTTGTCAAAAGCCACACTGAATACAAGGCAATACGGACTCCGCTGTGACCTCTTGTCCTTAGCGTCCACTCTGGGGTCCTACCCCACTCTCACTTTCAGAGTGGCCAGGGGCCAAGGCCACCAAGGAGAAGGAAGGGGCAGCTCCGGGGAGGCCTGTCTGCTGGACCGAAGGCTTGGACCAAAGGCAACCTGGATCCCCAGGCTCCCGGACAGAGCAGCGCACCGTGGGCAGAAAGTGTCTTCAGGGCTGAGGGGGGCTCACAGACTGACTGGACGCCTCGTGAGGGACCCTCCTTTTAAGTCAGGCTTCCTCTTCAGGAAGGGATGGTGCTGCCTGAACTGGACGAGTCCAGGGTGTTTAGCAGCCATGCTTGTTTTGTTTGAAAAGTTGAAGCTGATTCCTTGGTGCCAATAAGTCTGAACACCGTGACCTCATCTTCCCTGGAGCCTGGTAACTGAACCCACGGACAACTGGGATTGCAGACCCCGAGCTGGGGGAGGACAGTGCGGACAGTTCGTCCAGGGCAGCTCCTCCTGACCCCTCACGTCCCTGGGCCTGCAGTGCCCGTGGTTCTGCTCCAAGCCCGAGCCCATGGAGCTGGGGGCAGCCCCAGGCAGAGAGCCAAAGCCCAGCTTCCCAGCTGCTCCGGACAGAAAGTCCCCGAACTGTCCCTTAGCTAAAGAATATCTCCCGGACGTACTTGAAGGCGTCGTCTTCCTCAGGGGGCCCGGGGCAGGCGGGCTCAGGCGGAGAAGGCCCGAGGCCTGGGGGAAGGGCACCCTTGCCGTAGGCCTCCTCCTCACTGCCCCCAGGAGAACTCGGCCCCTCTGAGCAGACGGGGGACAGCTCCGGCTTATCAGTGCCTGCCAGGGGCAGCTCTTCCTGTTTCCGGCTCTGCGAAGTAGAAGAAATGACAGACAAAACACAATCAATTTCCCCAATGTGCTGGCTTGACTGTCAGCAGTGCAGACCAGGTCCAGAAGCAACCGCCAGGCCAGCGTGTGACGAGGCGGGCGCTGCTCCCAAACCAGAGGCTCCCCACGGCTCTGGGGGAGATCAGGGCCCACTGGGAGAGAAGGGGCCCGGCCTGAGGAATACCTGAGTAGAAAAGACAGATAAATACATAGAAAAAACGTGTCTGGGAAGGCAGGGTGACCCTGGAAGGGGCCCAGGGGAGGAAACCCGAGGGAGGGCCCACCTTCTGCCCCTCATGGGCTGCACAACTAAGGGGAAGTCCCTGCCCCTCAATTCTTCATTTTTAAAATAGGAATATGGTATCTGAAATAACTATATTGCCAGGTTACTGCAAGGATTAAATGAGACAGTAATGTGTACAAATAGCTGGTCAACTACACAGTGTCCCCAACTCTAAGGTGGTACAGTCCGCGCCACCACCGGTTCCACTTTCGAAGCGGGAAGTGTTGCGGGACGACTGTGCATAAAGAAAGAATCCTACTTCGCGGACATTCATTTATCGCGGTGGAGTCTGGCACTGATTAACCGCGATACACGAGGGCCGACTGTACAATTATTATTTGCTTCAGGGACCCAAGAGACCTCAGCGCTGCTCCGCAGAGAAGTGTAGAGGCCCGATGTCATCTTGCCCGACTGAGACCCTTCCCAGAACACTAGTAGCTACGGACTTTCTGTCCCTTCTGCATCCACCCTAGCAAGTGCGCACACCCCACACTCCCCTACCCCCCACCCCCACCCTGCACAGAGGGCTGCTCTCCCTCAACCAGCAACCCCTCCCAGGCACCCAGCCCGGAACGCTTGATGGGTGCACACAGCACAGTGGGGGAAGCCAAGGGGCGCTGGCCTGAGAGATGTGAGACAAGGGGCAGGCGGAACAAAGGCAGACGGGAGAGGGCTCCCTGAGAATGCAGGGCGTCTGTCCTGTCGACATTAACAAAGAGAAACTAGTCTAGAAACTAGACTCGGCCCATAAAGAGTCTGTGGTCAAAAGAGTAACAACAGCCCCGGGTAGCTCAGTTGGTTGGAGCTTCGCCCCAATAAACCAAGATTGCAGTTTGATCCCAGGTCAGGGCACATACAAGAAGCAACCAATGAATGTATAAATGAGTGGAACAAATCCATGTTTCTCTTTCTCTCTCTCTCGCTCTCGCTCTCCCCCTTCCTCTCTCTCCCTAAAACCAATCAATAAGTTTCTTTTTAAAAAAAAAGAGTAAGAACAGATGCTGACTTCACCTCAATCAGGACCCCCAGAGCAACATCGACGAGTTCGGCTTCACTCATGCAGTACACCGTCTTCGCGGTGGGGAGCCTGAAAGAAAGGCGTGGTGGACAGACGGCTCGCAGGCTGCCCCCCTGTGCTTCCCACTGCGGACTGAGCGGCAGCTTCCTCAGGGCACCAACTCGACTTCCTCATTCTTCTGACCAGTAGCTGGCAGAGGGGGTCACGGAGATAACAGTGGGGAATTCCCACCTCTGACAACTCCCCCAGGGTCTGGAAATAGGGTATGACAGCCACTCCTGAGAGCCAACTGACGCACCTACTAGATGTGAGCAGATCAAACAGACCACCTGGCCGAGACCTGCCTGGCACCTAGCTGAATGCATGAACACCGGCTGGAAGGGCTGCGATAATCGGAGAGGGAGGCGGATCAGTTAAGAAATCTTAGAAAAGGAGAGCCAGAGGGGCAGCACTGAGCTCCCAGTACCCCATCAGGAGAGTTCAGGGACATCCCCTCCCTGGCAGCCTGAAGACCCTCCAGTTACCAGCTTCCAACTAGCCCGCCCCACAGCCTCTGATTTCATGCTGGCCCACTGGCTTGCTGCTCCTCTGAGCCACATCTGCCCACGGGAAGACTGGACGACCTGGTCCACTCACCTTGCCCACTAGATGGTCATAATTAGTGTTGCAAATGAAGAGAGGGGCATTTTAAACAACTAGTGTTTGACAGCTTGGCTGACATGTGCAACCCCGAGAAGGGGAGCCACTGGCTGGGAGCTGGAGGGCCTGGCTGGACATTCACCAAGAGGCAGGAGCATCTGTCTGTGTGTGGGGTACGGGCCTCCCCCACGCAGCCTGTGCACCTCACAGGAGCTGCAAAGACATGCACTGAAACGCCTGCCCACCTCACTGTTCCTACACTGGAGGGCCCGGCCCCAGCAACTGTGGTGTCCCTAAGCGCCCCCCCCCCCCCGCCCCCGGTTCCCCAGGAAGGACCCTGCCAGAAGCGCTCACACCTTGCTGCAGCTGTCGGCTCTGCTGGCGTTCTCCTCCTCTTTGGGCTCTTCCCTGGCACCATTCTCTTCTCAGGCACCTGGGCTGTCATCCAGGTGGGAAGGACCCTCTTTTTATCCCCTGGATTCAAGGTTTCCATCTCTCTCGTCGCTGATGAAGAGTCAGGGCCCGTGCTTAGTGACTTGCTTTTTTAATTCGGGCCAGCAAACCCACTTTCTCACCGCACCAAGAATTATAGGTCTGTTTGTCCTGCAATGGGAGTCAAGCTTTAATTCCTACAAAAAAGAACAAAATCCAGTGAATTCTAATAAACTAGAGTACTCCCAATCATTAGCCCAGGGCAGGTCACAGGTGACCGGGTTGATGAGCAGGGCCCAGGAGGCTCAGATAGGCCATGCACAGGGCAGCCAGGGAGGTGTGGTGGTGGGCAGGCTGATGGGCCCGGGGAGAGGCAGCCCTCTGACCTGCCGCCGGGCCCCACACAGCAAGCCTTACAGAAATGCCTTCGGTAGCCTCTGCACTGAGCCACCAAACATGGAAGAGGGATGAACAGCCTCCCAGGAGAAAGGAAGTAAGGAGGTGCCCCCTCCTCCTCGCCACCCAGATGCTGTGCCCAACGTGCCCAGCCTATCCTACCCCTGAAATACCTCTCAGGGATCTCTCTTCAAACTTCTCATTCCCTCTCTGGGTGTGTTTATAAGAACCCTAAGGCCGTTTGATTCACAAAAAGGTTTCATTAGCTAATACCCCCTGCCTTAATCTAAAGATTCTTCCGACTGGTCTTTTTTTTTTAAGAGTTTAGCCCGGGCTGGTTTGGCTCAGCGATTAGAGCGCCGGCTGAGGACCAAAGCGTCCTGGGTTCAATTCCGGTCAAGGGCTAGGTCCCCGACCAGACCTAGTGGGGGAGGCAACCAGTTGATGTTTCTCTCTCACATTGATTTCTTTCTCTCTCCCCCACTCTATCTGAAGATAAATGGAAAAATATCCTCCGGTGAGGATTTAAAAAAAAAAAAATTAAGAATAGCTTATTAATTTTTTGAGAGCGAGAGAAAGGGAGAGAAGGAGCGAAACATCCATTGGCTGCCTCCTGAACGTCCCCCACCAGGGATGAGCCTGCCACCCAGGCGTGTGCCTTTGACCCAGAATAGAACAGGCAACCTCCAACACCTCCTGGTGCAGGGGAGGATGTCAACCAACTGAGCCACACCTGCCAGGGTGTGACTGGTCTTTTTTTTTTTTTTAATGGGTTTTTATTGATGTTTTAGAGAGAAAGGGGGAAAAACACCATGTGGGAGAGAAACTTCCAGGCTGCCTCCTGCACGCCCCCTACTGGGGATCGATCCCACAACTCGGTCATGTGCCCTGACCCGCAGTCCAACCAGGACCTCTCAGTCCGTGCGAGGAGGCTCAGTCCACTGAGCCACACCTGCCGCTGGCTGGTCACTTTTTAACCAGCAGTAGGGGTCCGGACGACTGTGCCTGGTCTCCCTCCGTGGAACCCCGAAGGGCCCAGGCAGCCTCTCACCTGCCCGGGCCTCTGCTGGCGCCCCACCGGGTCCCCCACTGCCCTGTCCCACCCTGTGGCTCCAAGGGCGCGGCCTCCTCCTCCCCGCAGGCAGCTCCCAGGCAGGGTCCCCCTGCAGCAGATTCTAGAAGAGGGTAGCGGGCCAGGAGACTCCTCCGACGACTGACCACGCACTGCTCAGCTAGATGGTTGTTACGTCGCTGGCGGAGCATCACCCCACCCTGTCCCAGGCGGGCAGCGCTCTGCACGGACTCCGTTCTGCGCCCCCGGCAGAGCGTCAGGCCGCCCCGAGGCCGGGGTGACTACGCCCGCTTTACGGCGGGGACCGAGGCTCAGCAAGCCCACCGGTCGCGGAGACGCTGGAAACAGCAGCGGACTTCAGACGACTCCCGCTCCAGGCCCAAGCGCAGAGGCCGCGGGGCGGGGTGGGAAGATCCCGGCAGGCCCCGCGAGCGCGTGGTGGCCGGCGTGCCGCCTGCAGGGGCCGAGGGACTCGGGGACACCCACGGGCCTCGCTGGCGGCGGGAACGCCCCGCCCGCTTCCTCGCGGCCCCAGAGCTCCGGGCAGGGCCGGGTCTCCGCCTGCGGCCGGGCCGAGCCCAGTCCGGACGGCGCGCTGCTCCGGCGCGGGGTCCTGCTTCCAGGGCGGGCTCGGCAAGAGGATTCGGGGCGGTCGTGGGCCCCGCCCGAACCGCAGAACCCCGCGGCCCCAGCCCTGCACGCACCTCCACCGGCCCAGCGCCGCCCGCCCGGGCACTTCCGGCTCCCGCCGCCTGCTCGCGAGCCCCGGGCGCGCCCCCTGCAGGCAGCTCACGAGGCCCGCACCCCCGCCGGCGGATGCGTAAAACCCACCCCGCTGTCCCGGGTCCTGACAGTCTCTCCTGACCAACCTCGGATCAGGCTCCTCTGAACTCCTCCACTAGGCCTGACTGTTGGGCTTCCGTGTTCCTCTCCACATTGTCGTTTTAGCAGGACTCCTGCTAAATTGGTTTAGCCAGAGCCCCCCCTTCCCACCTTCATATTTGATGACCCTAGAATCTGATAGGGTTCCTCATCCTCTACTATCCCCCCCCTCCCCAGGTGATGTCTGATCACCCAGGTTGCCTTGGGCAAGAATCCAGTTAGGTCAGTTTAGCCAAAATCCCCCCTTACTTCCTCTTAGTAATTTTACATCCACTGACCCCCAACCTGTTCCTTGGCTATACATTGCCACTTTTCTCTATTGCATTAGGAATTGAGCCCCATCTCTCACTCACCACAAAATCCCACTGTAGTAGCTCCCCTTGCCTTACTGTTTCTTAACAAGTGTCATGAAAAAAATTTTATTTAACAGAATGTTTTCTTTTAACAGTCCCCAAATGTGGCTCCATTTGAGTTTTGCTGGTTGGTCTTTGTTAAAATGTGGATTCCCGGGCCCCCTGAATCAAATTAGGGGGAGGGAGAGATGTAAGGTGAGTCCTTAGAGTGCAGGAAGAGAAATGAAAGCCACTGTTCACATTTATGTTAAAATAAAGATGTTACTAATATTTACTATTCAAATGGGCAGTCAAGGTGTTCTCTCTGCAAACAGGGCAGCTCCACAGAGCTGGCCAGGTGTCCTCACTGGTGCACTTGCGGCCTATTGCTGAACGCTGCACCTTACACGTGGAGTTAGCATCTCGCTTTAATTACAATCACACTCCCAGCTTAAAGCAGCCTAAAAGAGGCTGACAAAGAAACCCTCAGGTCGCAGACTAAAATGCAAGCACAAGCTGTCACAGGTGAACCTTCTCCCACCACATTTTGAAGCAAAAGGATGATCACAATTGCCAATCTGCCTCCAAAATGTGAAATTATCAAGACAGCCATTTGAAATGTAATTTACAATCAGCTAATAATAAAATATTATCATCTCTCCGTATACTAGAGATACACGATAGGGGAGCTTGATCCAAAGTTTGGAGGCCCGCCCTGGCCGGTTTGGCTCAGCGGTTAGAGTGTTGGCCTGCGGTCCAGAGAGACCCGGGTTCGGTTCCCGCAAAGGGCGCGTACCTCGGTTGTAGTTTGTCCCCAGCCCTGGTTGGTCATGCGGGTGGCAGCCACTCAGTTTGTCCCTTTCACATCAATGTTTCTCTCTCTCTCTCTCTCTCTATTCCTCTCTCTCTCTCCCACTCTATCTGAACAAAAAATGGAAAAATGTCCTCAGGTGAGGATTAAAAAAAAAAAAATTATACCACAGTTTGGAGACCCGACTAGAGCCAGGAGCTCTCCCTCCACCTGTGTGGTGCCTTTGGTTCTTCAAAGTACTTTCACCTCTCTTCCTGAGTATCCACCGCTGGGAAAGTTTAAATCAATCAAAGCTTAAGGAGATGTGTCACAAGACCAACCTGCTGAGCATTGGTTTTACCTGGGCTCTGTCTCCAGCCTCTGGAGAGCAACCCACCAGCAGGGACTGCTTTTCCTGTTCCCATGAAGGTGCTAGAGCCACTGACCACTCGGATTTACACAGGTGTGTGACAGGACAAACCCACCTCTAACTGGTGGAGGAGATGCCCTGTTTTGCTATTAGAACCACTGCTTCCCTGTTTGTCTCCTCAAAACTTCTTCCCACAGCAAGCTGAAAAATGAAGTCTGAGGAGCAGGAAACCTGTGTCTACACAAAAAGCTTTGTTAGAAAGGCGAGAAGCCCGAGCAAGAAACCTGAGCGGTGGGACCTGGATAGGCTGGAGTCAACCAGTGTTGAGTGCTGCGCTCAGGGAGCCTCCGGCCTTGGAGCAGGCGCAGGCAGACAGGTCCCAGGACAGTGAGGGAAATGCACCTCCAGGCCCTCAGCAGAGTCAGCCCCCACACCTGCACTGGGCATACAGGCTCAGGGGCCTGAAGCTGGACTAGCTTGATGGTTTTTTCTAGCTGCCTTTGCTCAAGATAATGGATGTCTTGCTGGGGACTTGGGTACATGCTGAGCGGGTATTGTGAAGGACGGGGAAGTCTAAGTTTTGACATGCTTTACTGGAGGATGAGAGTTCATTCTGGAGGGTTGTGGGGGGGACAGGAGGGCCACCAGGATGAGGGCAGTCAGGCTGACAAGCTCTCAGGATGGAGAAGGTCAGGGAGGAACAAGCCAGCAGGGGGAAGGGTTTGCCAGCAGTACTTACTAATTTCCCTCCAACTCCCAGCAGAATGGAGCCAAGGCTTTTGTACCAGTTTATTCATGATTTCCAAAAGCAGGTAATTGGGAGCACCCTCACTCCAGAGCAGCACCCTATGACTTGCTGGAGCCCAAAGAGGCTCTACAATGACTATTTCTAGTAGCTTGGCAACAAGGCTGCCCCTGTCAAGTGTTGGAGCCTGAGGCCTGAAATCCCACCACGAGACTTACTAGCTGACTGTGCCTCCCTGCCTAGAAATGGAAGTGGGGCCCTGGCCGGTTTGGCTCAGCGGTTAGAGCGTCGGCCTGCGGTCCTGAGAGACCGGGGTTCGGTTCCCGCTAAGGGCACGTACCTCGGTTGCAGTTTGTCCCTGGCCCTGGTTGGGTCATGTGGGTGGTAACCACTCGATGTGTCCCTTTCACATCAATGTTTCTCTATGTCCCACTCTATCTGAACAAAATATCAAAAAATGTCGTCAGGTGAGGATAAACAAACAAACAAAAAAAAAGAAATGGGCCCTGGCCGGTTTGGCTCAGCGGTTACAGCGTCAACCTGCGGTCCTGAGAGACCCAGGTTCGGTTCCCGCAAAGGGCATGTACCTCGGTTGCAGTTTGTCCCCGGCCCTGGTCGGTCGTGCGGGTGGCAGCCACTCGATGTGTCCCTTTCACATCGATGTTTCTCTCTCTCTCTCTGTTCCTCTCTCTCCCTCCCACTCTACCTGAACAAAAAAATGGGAAGGTGTCCTCGGGTGAGGATTAAAAAAAAAAGAAATGGAAGTGGGAGAAGGGGAGCCATTGTCTCGTTCTCCCTCACCTTGTGAGAGCATCTGACTTTTCAAGATTCCACCCTGGCCAGGGAGCAGAAGGCAGGCCACAGGCAGGGCTGTGGGCACAGTGGGGATGAACTTGTCCAACTCGATCCAGTCCTCTTGCCATTCACCAGCAGAGGGCGCTGGCGGCGGGCTCCATTCAACCTCAAGGATGTGAAGCCAATGAGAGGACCAACCACAGAGGTCCTGGAAAACCAGAGCCACCAGGTGGAGAGGGGCAGCAGGAGCAGAAGCCTCAGACCCTGCCCTAATCCAAAGAAGCTTCTGTAACAGAAGCCGCCAACTCTCAGGGAAAACAGAACTGCTATGGCCTTGTCTTCGGCCCAAAGAATCAGGAACAGCACAAACCGTAGTCACCAGTGGAATGGAAGAGAGGGCATCCTCCTAGACTAGAGCAGAGCAACAAGCAAACATCCGCTGGGGCTGTTTGAAGTCAGAACTTGGGTGTGGGACCTGGGCTCACAGCTGACCGTCACGGGCAAAGGGTGAGGGGAGGCACCCTGCTGCACGCACACATCCCAGAAAGACACGCCAGCTAACCATGAGAGCACATTTTTTTTTTTTTTTTTTTAAAAAGAAGAAAACTGAGCAAATATACAAAATACTGTCCATCTCTCCTGGGCCAACAGAGCAGCCATAACAATGCTCCTTGCTGAGCTTTCCGCCCGCTGTCTGGAGTAGCCTCTGGGGCGCACGGGCCACTCCATGTGGCTCCTGTTCCAGTCACTGTGGCTGGGCAGCGGCCTGGGCCCCAAACAGCCTTTCCCTGAAGATTCCTCGCCCTGGCAGGGAGCCGGAAGTGGAGCTTCCTGTCTTCCTGTCTCATGTCTCCCCACTCCCAGGATAATACTGCTTCCGTGGAAGTCCTTAGGGGCGGGTCCCATCAGACTTTATGGGCCAGGAGCGTGGTCAGCTTGATCTTGCCATCCATGGAGGCAGTGAGGCAGGTCCCGCAGTCCATCGCTGTGCTCCAGTCCACGGTGACCACCGGGGCTCGGTGGCCACCTAGGCTCAAGCAGCTCTCCAGAGCCTTCTCGTCCCCACCCAGCTGTAAGAGGACAGGAGAGAGGAGGAGGTGTGAGAAGACACCATTCACAAATACATCCACTTTAACCACGTCGAGCCTGAGGGCTGCCACCCCACTCTGAGGCTGTGCCAGGCACTCGTGCCCACCTTTCCAGAAAGCCCATTTAATTTCTTGGATCAGGAAATAACTTCATTGTCCTGACTACAGTTACTCCTTAATCTTGAGTGGAAAACAAGTCCCTGACACGCTCTAAAAGACAGAATCTTCTCAGCCGCCCTTAACTTGCTGTGGGCCCGTGCCATGTGCCCTGTGCCACCCGGGCTGCTCTCTTCCAGCATCATCCCTGCTGCCGGGCATCATGTCACATATCCGATTCTTTGTTCTCGGTCTGCTCCCCCAGAGGTGGCAGCTGCAGGAGGGCGGATCTTGGGCAGCCCTGCAGTGTGGCCGGCCTGCAGCACCCAGAACGAGCTGGCACCAGCAGGCCCTGGATCAGTGTGCAAGCACAGCTGTCCTCCGCCCACGGCACCAGCCAGCCCGGGCTCCTTGCAGGTGAGGGGTCAGAAGGTAGGAAGGAAAGGGAACCGGGACCAGACTGAATCATGATCGATGCAGCCACAGGCATCATCCGGGAACAAGAGACTGGAAGTATACGGCCTTCGTGGAGGAAACATCTTTAAGAATCACAAACTGCTTAGAGTATAAGGATGGATTCTGAAATTCATTATATCCCTTAAGTAATTCGGCCACGTGAGGCAGGGGTGGGGATAGAGGCCCGAGCTCAGCCTGGCCCAGCCCTCCGGGGAGGAAGCTCCCTACCCACCACAGCACCCCCAGGTACCTTGTAGATGACGCCCCCAGTGGCAGAACACGTCAGCATGTAATTTCCCTCCGAGTCAAAAGCGAAGAGCCGGCCCCGGGGAACTTGAACCTGCTTGTAGCCGCTGTAACCAGACAGCACGAAGGGGCCCGTGGCATCCGCGGGGAGCCCGAACTCGGACACCTTCAGTCCACTCTTGTGAATGTTCCACTGTATGAACTGCAACCACAAAGCACAGCCAGAGTGCTCTCAGCAGCAAGCGGCCTGAGGAGGAGCAGGCACGGCACCAGAGCAGAGCCCTTGGGTCCACAGGCCACCAGGAGAGATAGTGGGGTGACCCTCCAGTCCCATCTCTTCCCAACACAAGTTAAGCATTAAAACAATTTTTTTTCTTTATTGATTTTAGAGAGAAAGAAGGAGAGGGAGAGAGTGAAACATCAATAAGAGAGAACATCGATGGGCCGCCTCCTGCATACCCCACACTAAGGATCGGGCCCATAACCTGGGCATGTGCCCTGACCGGGAACTGGGCCGGCCGGGCACAAGTTAAGCATCTTTTAGGGAAGAAATTCTAGAGAAAAGGGTTAGCAACCTCACACCAAAGTCTGGACTTTCTCTCTGGCCTGACCCCAAGCAGGGAGAATGCTTCAGTGACTGTTGCTGCTAGGGTTAGAACCCACTGAGACTTTTCTGACTTAGGAATTCCCAAAGTACGGAGGACAAATTCCAATATACTTCCAGTATCTCAGCAGTGCAATGAACTGAACATAAGCAATGTCATTATAAATTTAGCTTCGTGTATTGTAGTATGTATACTTCTTTAGCCTACCCCAGGACAGGCTACCTTTATGTAACCATCTGTTGAGAATCCTACCTAAATAAATAGGAAGTCAGGTTTTCATTTAAAAGTCCCCTTCCCATAGTTAAGTACTATTTTCAGGTCGATAGGATAAAATCCAAAAGATACAGGAGAGCATACATGAAAACCACGCATGCTTCCCCCACCCCCAGCTCCCTTTCTAGGATCCTAACATATCTTTCCAGAAAGAATCCACAAGGGGCACTTACTTTTACTTTTTTTCCGCCTTTGTTTTCACTTGACTTGACTCTGCTCAGGCCGGTACACATTGCCTCTGGGAAGCTGTCCCCAGGCCCCCGGCAAACTCTACACGTCCATGCTGTGGCCACCCAGTGACCAAGCTCACGGAGGCACATCCCAGCCCCAAATCCAGACCCCACTGCTCCATACACAGTGGGATGAGTCACTTGTTACAACCAGGATGAAGGATGTGGGTCCTCCCCTTCATAAGGGTAGCCAGCTCCCACTGAACTCACTTAAATGGCACAAAGATCCTGTGAGATTGGTTACTATTACTATCCCTGTTCTACAGGGATAAACAGGCAGGGAGGGGCCCACGGTCAGAGTTAGTGAAAGGTATGGTCAGAATTTAAACCCAGCCCGTCATGCTACTCTGGTGCTCTCTAGACTCTCAGATGCCTAAGCCAGGGAAGAGAAGTTCCTGACCTGAGCCCTGTGCCCACCTACCTTCCCGTCCTCGCCGATGCTGTACACGGCGTTCTCGTCATAGCTGAACTCCACAGAGCACACCTCCCCGCAGTGGGCCTTCCAGCTCATGGCGCACTCGTGCTGCTGCATGTCTGAGGCAGTGAGACGGAGATTCCTGCTAAGATTCCTGCCCGGGCCCCAGGGAGGCATCTGCTCATGGCAGGAGGCATCTCCCACCTTCTGCCCAGTGGGTGGGAGCTGTTCCGGAGGCAGGGGGCCTCACAGGGCTGAGTACTGCTGAAGGGTCCCTGGGTGCTGCAGTTTGCTAATTCTCCTCCACTGTATCAATCTGTTTAACCTGTCTTAAACAGAAGCTGCTTTCACTGGGGCTACAGTGAGGCTCAGGAATCCCTGGGTGGAGCCTGAGCTCATCTGCAGGGCCCCGAGGGAATGAGAACACAAGTCCTTCCCAGGTCTCTGTAACTTCCCCCTAGGGGATCTGCTGAGACACAGTCCCTTGTCCTATCCCAGGCCCTCTGACTCTGGGCCTCCTGGGACAGACTGGCATGGGGATCTTTAAACAGCATGACGGATGGTTCTGATGCACACTGTTCTGACACTTTATGAGGACAGTGAACTAGCTACACCAAGAGACAAAACAGCATTACTCTCTCGTGTCCTCTTGGGTCTGACTCAGGTGAAACAGCTCAAGACGGAAGGCCTGCTAAGCTCCGCCCTCCATCCTGCGTCCACTGACGCTGACCATGTGCGAGGTGACTATAGGGGTTCTGAAAATATGGATTCTGACCAAAGGTAAGTTCTATTATGAGCACCCTGAATTAGGGTTTTGCTTCTAGTCCAACTGACTAATTTCCAACTCTCTTCCCCGGGACACTGAAGGAGGGCCCAGGGCGGCCACCAGCAAGCTTGCTCACCAAACAGCCGGATGACGCCGTCCGCCGCCCCTGTGACCAGCAGGTTGCCATTGTGGTTGAAGGCTGTGCAGTTGATAGCAATGGGCCCTGGATCCAGGGAGAACTGGAGCTGGAAAAAACAAACTAAAGTTTAAAAATGTAAGAGAATAATAAACCAAAATTCAAGACAAGTTCTGTCTGAAAGGGGGCAGGAGAGCGAGATTAGGGAGAGGCACACCAGAGCACACAGAGTACTGGTGATGTGCCGGCTTTAAACTACGATGGATGTAGGGCCCATCTCATGGCTTCTCTTCTCATTATGCCACACATCTATTGATGCATCTTTGTATGCATCAACATTTAATTTAAAAAGTTTAAATAACAAACATAAAATCACAAATCATGGTAAGTGCCTTGGAGGAGAATAACGAGATTAAGGAGGCCCTAATTAAACTGGGCTGTGTAAGGGAAGCATCTGAGCGATGCTGGGGGCAGATGCTTGCAGATGGAGTTGGGAAGAACCTCCTGAGAGGGGAACCTCCAGGAAGGGCCTGCTGCTGCGGGAGGACGGGAAGCACCAGGGGACCAAGGGTGGCAGCAGTGGGGAGGGGCAGAGCATGCAGGGCCCTGGGGGGATGTGGATGGGACACACGGACCAGCAGGAAGGACTTGCTACAGGGTCTGTCTATCCCGGGGCAGTGGTGGGGAGGAGGGGCGGGCACCACAGGAGGAGAGGTCCTGCAGCTGTCCAGCTGAGGGACACCAGATATTGGGTCCTGAGTGTGTCCCTGGAACCACAGAGAAGTGGTCATACTGAAAGCACATTCTGGAGGTGGCACTGCAGTGTTGCTCCTGGATTGATTGTGTACGGTGGGGGAGAAGGAGGGGCCCAGAAAGGCACCCCTTTTCTAACTGAGACACATTTGCCTAGATGAGGAGCAGACAGGCAGGGCGTGGTCAAAAATTCATGTGCGGCCCTGACAGGTGCATGTGCCACTACACAGGCAGGAGCAGTAAGACACACCACCCCTGGAACACAGCCCACCTATAAGACGGGGCCCTTCAACTGTCCAGCATGAAGACCACACCACTTCTGAGCACCAACACTACTTTTAATAAGAAACATCACTGCCTGTTAAACCAGGAGTTTAAATATCGTCTGGCCTCTCAGGCTTAGGGTCATAGCTGCGAGCAGCTTACTGTGCTGGGTGGGAACGCGTCCTCAGTTCCCGACTCCTCACGGAACCATCACCTTCATGTGGCTGTCACCTCTCAAGAATGTGCCTGTGTCCTCACTACTTCTAGCTGCTCTGTAAATTTATGCAATTCTAAGTTAACAGAGAGTCGGAAGGAGACACCGTTGTCTCCTAGAAAATAAACCACCTGGATGCATAATAAAAGAAACCAATCTGTAAAGATGATGTGATTCCAAGTATATGATAGTCCGGAAAAAGCAAAATTATGAAGACGGTATAAAGATCTTCCAGTGCCAGGGCCACACTCGGGGGAGGGGACAAGGAGGCAGAGCACAGAGGATTTTTAGGGCAATGAAAATACCCCATATGATGGTAGATGCATGTTGTTATATATTTATCCAAACCCACAGAATGTAGCAGACTAACACCGAACCCCGAAGTAAACTGTGGTCCTGGGTGATGACATGTCAATGTAGGCACAATTGTGTTTTTTTTAATCCTCACCCAAGGACATTTTTCCATTTTTTGTTCAGATAGAGTGGGAGGGAGAGAGAGAGAGAGAAACATCGACGTGAAAGGGACACACAGAGTGGCTGCCACCTGCACAACCCAACCAGGGGACAAACTGCAACCGAGGTACATGCCCTTAGTGGGAACAGAACCCGGGTCTCTCTAGACCGCAGGCCGACGCTCTAACCACTGAGCCAAACCGGCCAGGGCAACGTAGGCACAATTGTAACATGCATCACCGTGGTGGTGAATACAGCGAGGGGCGGGGGGACATGAGACATCTCTGTGCCTTCCTCTCACTTTTGCTGTGAACATAAAACTGCTAAAAATGAAGTCTTTAAATATAAGACAAATTTAAAATAAGCCACAAGGGCCCTCTAGGAGGCTCTGTGTGACTTGAAAACCTGTGGCACAATTCTGAATGACTTGAGCAATCTACCCCCCTAGAGTATTACTCCTTTTGGTACTTAAATTTTGACATTTCCTCACAAATCCAAGTTTGCAGAGACCGAGACTCAGAAGGAGGGAGCGCAGGTTCTGTGCCCCCCGGAGTGTGAGCGGCCCCAGAGGACCCAGGGGGCAGGCCCGCACCTGCTGCTTCATGGTTTTCGTGTCCCACAGCAGCAGCTTGCCAGGAACCTGGTTGGTGCCCTTGCTGCCGATGTCCAGTGCTGAGAAGTCCACCTGGGATGCGAGGCTCGGAGCTGCAGCCGAACAGACGAAAGAGGCCCCGTTGGGGCTGCAGGCGAGAGACAGGATTCTGCAACACACGTGGGGCGCGGTCAGCACTCCGCGCCCACAGAGGAAGGATGAGATGGGCAGAGGCTCGGCAAAGGACCAGGCCTGCAGCGCAGTGAGGGGAGCGGCCTCCAGCTCACCTGGGCATGTCGTCGTTGATGTTGATTTCACAGAGGTTCTTCTTGGCTTCTGTGTCATAAAGGCGCACTGTCCCCACACCACTGCCCAGCAAGAGCTGGAAAGAGAAGGGGCGGGAGGTGTGAAGACCAGCAGGAGGGCGGGCCGGTCGGGGAGGCCCTCTCCTGTGAGGTCTGGGCAGGCCAGAACACAGCCCACCTGTAAGACAGGGACCTTTCAAGTGGCCCAATAACATAAGGAAACTGGGGTGGGGTGCCCTCCACTTATCCAGGTAGTTTAGGTGGATTTCTGGCTAAAATGGACCTCATTTAAAAATTAAATAAAGACCTCAGAGCTGACCTTGAACAGAAGACTACAAAAGAAATCTGGGGATGGGAGAGAGGTATCACCCCAGACACCCCTGGAGAGGTTCTGGCTGATTAAATGAGACCCTCTGTTCTTTCCTCCTTTTCTTTCCACTTTAAATCCCAGCTGTTGCCGCCCTTTCTTCTCCCTCCCGATCTACCTACCACCTCTTCCTTGGCTGCTGGCCCCAGCTCTTGGGGCCTTGGCCACATCTGCATGTCTGGAGATACTCTGAGCCTATAAAGGCCTTCGGAAAAAAAACAAAACAGAAGCTATCCTTGCCTTCAGGGACTTGTGATTTATTTGGTGAAAAGCTTCAAAGATAATGAGTACTACCAGAAGAAAGCACCAGAAACAGGTCTGAGAGTATCCCCCAGGGATATTACCTATATTGCAACCTCAGCATTCCTTACCCTGACATCCTAGTACCATAACCATAACACCTGCAGTTGTCAAAATTATTAAAAAACAAGTTTGCCCCTTGGGTTGCTATGATCCTCTCAAGATGGAGTAAAACACTACAAATCAACTTTCCCTCCTTAACTACGAAGTCTATCTCAAACATTAAAGTCCAGAAGGAAAAAGAACACGGTCCTATTCCTGGAGGCAATCAGAGCCTGGGGACCGCCCAATGGGGCACCATCCCCCACCAGCTTCAGCTGCTTCCTTTGGGCCTAACACAGGCAGGGGTCTGGGCAGCTGGAGGGAGCAGTTGAGAATGCTCATGGTAGGTTGTCAGAAATGTGGACAGATGACAGGACTGATGGGAAGAACAGGAAGCAAGCCAGTCTCTCCCCAGACAGAAGAAGGGGGCCAGACCCCTACAGACAGGAAGGCGCCCTGCACCCTGACTGGAGAATGTTCTCCAGGCTGCACTGCAGTCTCATTTCAACTCGTTAGTCCAGTCGCCTCCTTGCCACCCCCAGCAGGAGCCTGTAGGGACCGTCCAGGAAAGGGGGGGAGCTGGCTTGGCAGCCTGGACTGAGCCTGAGCTGCCCGACTGCTGGTGGACAGCCCTGGGGAATTCCTCCTCCACCGCAGAGCAAGCAGGGAGGCATTTACTCACCAGCCGGTCCCGCTTGGTGGCCCACTCTAAAGACAGCAGCGGTGACTTGGAAATGGACGACGCTTTGGTCTGCATGATGGGGTTGAAGGACCACACTTTGATGACCCCGTCTACATCTAAGCTGGCAACCCTCCTCCCCGAGCAATCCACTCTAAGACAAAAGACAGAGGGAAGCTGTTAATGTCCTTGTCGTAGTCTGTCATCCTCTTGAGCTAATTCAGATGATTGCTTTTCTTTCTGACTGCTTTGAAAAATAATCCTGAAATGCCTACACTCCAGTGATTAGCGGACTATTTCTAGAAACATTAATTCATTCACTTGCCCAAGAACTGCTCATGAAGAACTACTGTGTGCTGAGCCCTGGGGTAAACACACACAGAATGGTGGGCAGAATGCACTGGGCCCCGGCCTCGGGCACCTGGAGATTGAGAGCCTCCTGCTCTCGGCTCCGGGCCCATCAGGGTCATCAAAGCAAGGGACCCTCTGAACATTACATCTGCAAGGGTTTCTTCATGAAAAGTCATGTTCTTAACACGTGCACGTAAAAACTTGTAAACGGTAAATACAGTATGGAGCAAAAGTAGATTTAGTTGTTCATATGGAAAATAATACAATAATTAATAAATAATAACATAAGAATAAACTCTGTGTTTCACTTACTCGCTTATTTTTGCCCCATCTTGTGTTTATCTACAATTACCAACAAAAAGCAAATTAAAATTGCTTTAGGGAGTTCAAACAGAAGTTCCTAAAACTCAGAGTCCCATAATTAGAAAGGACAGGGAGGCTGACGAGGCGTACAGCTGCTCTGAGCGGGACACCCACACTCGGATGGAGCTGCTGGCCCTCCTCTGACTCTCTGAGGGTGACCGTGGTCCTTCAGGAATCCCACTTTCCACACCTGCACACATACAGCTTCCCAGGACCAGCCCCGCCTGACCCACCTGCAGTGCATGATGGAGGAGTGGTGTTCCCCGTACTCCTCCTGCCCCAGCACAATGAACGGCTGCTCAGGGCGAACCCCTCCACCCTCGGGGCCGGCCGAGGCGGCCCGCGTCAGTGTCTCCAGCGCCTCCATGTGGAGCTCTGGGCAGGGCTCTGGGTCCGGGCCGCAAGCTTCAGGCTTCTTCTCCGCACACTGTGCCAAGCAAAGTGGGGATACTTCAGCTGTGACAGGTCTGCGCTGGGCCCAGCCATTCACACGCGGAACACACTGCAGGACATCTGTGCTGCCAGCCTGCAGCACACTGCGGGAGGCTCTTGGTGGTCATGGGGTCTGGAAGAAAGAGCTCTGCACTGCAAGAGCAGGGCCAGCTCACCCAGGAGAGGCAGGTGCCTCCTCCCCCGCCATCCCCTTCCTAGAGACCTTGCTCCTCTCATGGGCCCTGCTAAGGGCGCCCCTCCCTGTCACAGCTGATGGGACTCAGGACACACACCACCTTGACAGGCCAGGCCTCTGATGTCTTTAAAATAGGCAAGTAGCTCCAGTTAGGAGATAAATGGTCAATAAGGAGATAGGCAAGAGACTCAGGCAGCAAAGCCCTTGGGCTTCAATCCAGAGTGTCTGACAGAAATGGAAGCAGCTTATGCTGCCAGGAAGAGACCCTGACCCACATTCAGCAGTGAGGGAGTCACAGGGCTCAGCTTGGCAAGAGTCTCAGAATGACACTGTGGGCGCATGGCCCTCAGGGAAGCAACTCCAGCAGATGGGCCTCTGGGCTGCAGGAGAAAAGGGTCCTGAGATCAAGCAAGTCTGGGGGATTCTCGGTTGAACCAGGAAACCTGGTTTTTGTCCTGCCAAATCTGAGCCCATAAAATGCTGATGTTAATATTAACCTAAGGGAACATGCAGTATGCAAGGGGGTCCCGAACCAATTTAATTCCAGAACTCATACTGTGGGAATGTTTTCGGTTGGCATTTTATGACCACTATTTAGAAAAGTGCTATATCAGAAAGAGGGACCACTGAAGAGCCAGGCAAACTATGCACGAAATAACCAAAGTGCAAGCATTTAAGCCCAGTTCAGCAAGACCACACTCCAGACAACAGCAGAAATCAAGGGAGGTAAGAGCAGGCCCTGCACCACCCACCATTTTCCACAGCCCTCCTGTGGGCATGTGTGGGATGCTGAGGACAAGCCATACCTGCAACGTCAGAGACAAAAGCTCCTTCCTTTCCTTGCCGTGATCCTGCAGGCGCCGCTGACGGTGCTGTGACCAGCTGGACTCCCCAGTGGCCAGCCCACTGAAGAGGCTCTTTCCGTCCTTGGGTCCACACACTGGGTCCTTCGCCTTAGCGGTCTGGAGGATGAGACACCAGGCTGTGAAAAGTCTCTTCCTGTCTGTGCCCGTGCCATGACACCTGGGCCAGGAGGGGAGCAGAAGCCAGGGAGTGGCTTCTCTAGCCCACAGCTCCTGGGTAAGTTTCCTCCCTGGCCACACTGAGCAGGTAGTTAAAATGTTACTATCTCACTGATGGGCAAAGTCAAGAGTGAAACACAGGCAGTCTGGACCTCCTCCTCTCCGTTCTCTGCTCCCGGTTGAGAGAGCTCTCCTCCCCTGCCTTATCTCTATTGCCTGGATTTCTCCTTGATCTAATCAAAACAATTAACTTTAGTCAAGGGGGAGGAGATCAACACTTTGCAACGATTATAAGGCAGGTCAGGCTTGGCACTGTTCTAAACATTCACAAGTAATGCCAAAAATTTGGGGCAAGTTTGGGCAACACCAAAAAAAAATGTACGTAACATACAATCACCTCTCTGGAGGGAAAAAAGAACGCACTAACCTTTTGGATCACATGTATGCCTGAGCCAGCTAATGTTAACAAATATTCAGGTATTTGGAAATGATTACTAGGTAATCAGAAATCCTTAACAGAAACCACTGGAAACTCAAGGACTTTGGAGCAAAATGAATTGCACAGGAAAGAAAATGGCATCTTCTGGCTCCTTTTCATAGCATGAGTGATAAAGTCAACCGAGGTTAGGGCAGATGAATTCAATAACCCCCTCTCCACTCCCATGGAGAGAAGATCCTTAATCAACAGCTTCTTTAAAAGGGGCTGCCACCTCATCTCCTTTCCAGGTTATCTGGCTGGGACCTCTCTTTCCAACTTTATTCCCACCAATCATGATGGTCACATAGCCCCCCTGCTTTGTACAGGGATATGGATGCAAACAGCCACTCGGTTTGAGACCATTTCCTCTCAAGCCATTTATACACAAGATTGAAGTCAAGAGAAGAGACCCCCAATGTCTACTGTCCTCTCTAGTTCTGCTACTTACTATTTAGTACTTTAACCCTGTTTCTTATGTTAAAACAACTTAAGATGATTAACATAGAGTTCTTGGGATCCTAAAGCCATGTGAACAGTTCAGAAAGGAAATTTCAAAGAACTGGAGCTGACTGTGGCTGACCTGCAGGGTATCTGTTCCTTTTGTTTTTCTGACTAAGCAGCTTCTAGTGTTATAGGCTGATGCCTGTCACAGATGTTCCTTCTAGAGAAAGTGCTTGATTCTCCAAATTCTGACTTACTTGGGGAGAAGCAGGGTTCTCAGTCAAGACAAAAGAAGTAAACTAAGAAGAAAACCAACAACAGCAGCAGCCCCAGTATATATTATTCACTGAATGTTTACCATATGCAAGGCACCACGCTAAGAACTTCACAAACATTCCCTTAGGATGAGGACTTTATTTTAACCTGAGGAGGTGAGGCTTAGAGAGGTTAAGTTACTTGCTCTACACAGGTACAACTTGAAAGAGCTGAAATTCACACCTAAATCTGACAGCAACTCCATGCTCTGAGAAACCTGAAAAAGCAATACCATGAAGGGAACATGTGGAAGAAAGTAACACTGAATAGAAAAGATAAGAAATGTCATAATCCTGAAGTTAAATAATACCCAAGACAAGGCCCTTCTGTCAGTGCTCTGGTCGCTGATGAGAAGTACCCCACGGTCCATGGAACGCAGGACACGTTCCACAGTTTAGAAAGTGGAAGACTTCTCTTACCTTCCCAGAAGCAAAGGGTGTCAAGACAACTGATAACAGAGAGGTCCTGAGGTAACCATGGCATCCCTCACATAGTCCCCAGGTGGGTGTGCCACTCCCTGGGATGTGATCCAAGGGTGCCAACCCTCCACTGATTCCTTCCCATACCTACTGATCCAGCAGGCAAGTTGCTCAGACTGAGGAATTCTACAGGGGTAGCTACACCTATATCAGGCAAAATACACTTTAAACAATGATTGTAGTGAGAGACGAAGAAAGTCATTACATGATGATAAAGGGGTGAATTCTTCAAGAAAATGTAACAATTGTAAATGTATACACAACCAACATCAGACCTAACAGGAGAAATGGGCAGTGATACAGTAACAGTAGGGAACTTCAATGCCCCACTTTCAACAATGGATAGATCATTCAGACAGAAAATAAGAAAACATTGGACTTACACATTAGACCAGAAGGACTTAACGAACATTTTCAGAACATTCCATTCAAAAGCAACAGTATACATATTCTTCTTAAGTGTACATGGAACAATCTCCAGAACAGATCATATGCTAGGCCACAGAACTAGCCTTTAAAAAAAAAAAAGTTTCTATTGATTTTAGAGAGGAAGAGAGATGGAAGATGGGAGGGGGAGAGGGGGAGAGAGAGAGACAGAGACAGAGAGAGAGAGAGAAACATCGATTGGCTGTATCTGCACGCCCCCTACTGGGGATTGAGCCTACAACCCGGGCATGTGCCACAACTGGGAATCGAACCAGCGACCTCTTGGTGCATGGGACAATGCCCAATCCACTGAGCTACACTAGCCAGGGCAAAACAGGTCTTAATAAATTTAAGAAGGTTGAAATTGTATCAAGGATCACAATGGTATGAAACTAGAAATCAATTACAAGAAAACTGAAAAACTCACAAATATGTGGAGATTAAACAACATGCTGCTGAGCAATCAGTGAGTCAAAGAATAAATCAGAAGATAAAGAAAAATATCTTGACACAAATGAAAATGGAAATACAACACACCAAAACTCACAGGATGCAGCAAAAGTAGTTCTAACAGGGAAGTTAGTAGCAATAAACACCTACATTAAGAAAAAAGAAAGATCTTAAATAAACAACTTAACTTTACACCTCAAGGAATTAAAAAAGAAAAAACAAATCTCAAAGTTAGTCAAAGAAGGCAATACAAAGATAAGGGAGGAAATAAATAAAATAGAGACTAAAAAGGCAATAGAGGACTTCCGGTCAAGACGGAGGGTAGGTAAACGCGGTATTGCGTCCTCCCACAACCACATCAAAGTTACAACTAAACTACAGAACAACCATCATTCAAAACCGCCTGAAATCAAGCTGAATGGAAGTCCTACAACTACAGAATTAAAGCAGCAGCCACATCGAGACTGGTAGGAGGGCGGAGGGGCTGGTCCCACACCCACGTGTGGCGGATAAAAATCAAGAGGACATCTCGGCTGGGAAGGTCCTTCCTGAGGACTGAGGGGTCCCCGTCCCACACCAGATGCCCCGCTCAGGGTTCCAGTGCCAGGAAGAGAATCCCCATCTTCTGGCTGGAAAAACCAGCGGGAACTGAGGCTCAGGGAGGCTGAGGCAGCTGGAGCCCCAGGCAGCTCCTTAAAGGGCCCGCACATGGACTTATCGGACTCTCTCCCTCTGAGCTTGGAGGGAGGCAGCTCGAGGGGCACCAGAGACATACAGGGAAGAACTGAGCTGTTTGGCACTGGAGCGAGGGCTGGAGAGTGGGCTTTCTCAGGGACAAACGTGCTGTAAGAGGCCTTTGTTCCTTTGGTGAGCCCTTCCCTGGGGCGGCAGACAGAAGCCATATCTGGGACTCCAGCAACCTGGCTCACACTGGTAGCCCCGCCCTGCTGACTCCCTGAGGCCCCGCCCCACCCAACTTTCAGGCCCACCCAAGCTGTTGCCAGTTGCTTAACCATAGGATTGGCCTGTCTTGGATCCTGCTTCAAGTTTTTCCTAAATTCTTTCAAACGAGCAGCATCTGGTCTCAGCCAGCCCCATACCGCTCGTTAAGTAATACACTGAAACAAACACAGGAGGCAGCCAAAATGAGGAGACAAAGAAATAGGCCCCAAATGAAAGAATGGAACAAAACCCAGAGAAAAGAACTAAGCAAAATGGAGATAAGCAACCTAACAGATGCTGAGTTCAATATACTGCTTATAAGGATACTCAATGAACTCAGTGAAAACCTCAGTGAACTTAGTGAGGGCCTCAAGAGCATAAAAAAGGACCAGTCAGAATTGAAGGAGGCATGAACTGAAATAAAGAATAATTTACACAGCTTTAATACTAGACTACGTAAATCCAAGAAGCAAACCATCGATTTGGAATAAAAGGAAGCAAAAAATGCCCAATCGGAACAGCAAAAAGAAAAAAGAATCCAAAAAAATGAGGATAGTGTAAGGAGCCTCTGGGACAACTTCAAGCGTGCCAACATTCGCATCTTGGGGATGCCGAAGGAGAAGAGAGAGGACAAGAAATCGAAAACCTGTTTGAAACAATAATGGCAGAAAACTTTCCTAACTTGGTGAACGAAACAGACATACAAGTCCAGGAAGCACAGAGAGTCCCAAACAAGATGAACCCCAAGAGGCCCACACCAAGACACATCATCATCAAAATGCAAAAGGTTCAAGACAAAGAATCTTAAAAGCAGCAAGAGAAAGGCAGATAGTTACCTACAAGGGAGTTCCCATAAGGTCGTCAGCTGATTTCTCAAAAGAAACTTTGCAGGCCAGAAGGGAGTGGCAAGAAATATTCAGAGTGATGAAAAGCAAGAACCTACAACCAAGATTACTCTATCCTGCAAAGCTGTCATTTAGAATCTATGGCCATATAAAGAGTTTCGCAGACAAGAAAAGTTAAAGGAGTTCATCACCACCAAACCGTTATTATATGAAATGATGAAGGGTCTTTTTGAAGAAAAAGATAAAATATATGAACAAACAAAATGGCAATGAATACATATCTATCAACAATGGAATCTACAAACAAAATGAACAGGTAGATCAGAAACATTCTCATACATACAGAGAACATTTTGTTGGTTGCCAGATGGGAAGGGGGTTGGGAGAATCGGTGAAAAAGGTGAAGGGATTAAGAAGTACAAATTCATTGCTAGACTGACAAACCTTAAAGGGAAAGGGGTTGGGGGGGTGGGAAGAAATAAACCAAAGAACTTATATGCATAACCAATGGACACAGACAATAGTGTGGGAAAAGGCGGGAGGGGGCGGGAGTGGGGAGGAGGG